CTTTACTTTGTGTCCGTGATTAAGAAAACATACATGATAAGAAACTGCTGTGGACTATCAGTGTATTTAAGCAATTTTTATTGAGTTCCCACAATAGCACCTACACATATGAGAAAAATGGTCAGACATGTATATGAGATATTTGAGGAATTCTATCAGCTTCAAGGTTTATGGATTGGTGGTTCCCTTGAAGTAACCCCGTGCTCCCCCCTTGCACTTGAGAGCCTGCTGGCCCAGGGGTGTTTGAGCACAGAACACTTGGTGAGCCTGCACATTGCTGACTGGGGACCAGCAGGGCCCCATCTGTGCGTGGCTGACTTGCTAAGGATTTTCTGGAGAAAGTGATGTGTTGAGAAATGATGTTGTGTCCACCTCCACCCCCCACCCCCCAACAGACAGAGGTGGTCTGGTGGTGCTCTCCCTTCCAGGGAGCAGTCAGTCCTTTGTGTCCTGAGGCCTGGGCTCTCCTTACTTCAGGTGGATCCGTGCCTAGTCACTGCGCTTCCCCTGACTCTCCCATCTCCAAGGCCGTGTCCCACTGAGGATACTGAATGAACAGTGTTGCCTAAGGAAGGAAAGAGTTAAAACATGTTTGTGTTTGTGTCTGGGAAGGGTACTGCGGGATGCTGTGGCAGGCCCCTGGGTTCTCAGAAGAGGGGCACCAGAGGCAGATCTACAGGGACCTCAGCCTGTGTCTGGGCCAGTGCAGCCTCTCTGAGGTAGGAGGATCCCCCAAGGAATGACTGTGTGGGTACCTGTGAGGACTGGCTAAACCTGGACACCCCATCCCCTGCAGAGCTCTCTGAAGAGGCACCTGCCATCAGAGGGGCCTTCTGGCCCAGGCAGGAGCCAGCAAGCCAGGTGCCAGATGCTGCTGCTGAGCGGGGGGCGCAGATGGCCACAGCGTGTGGTCCAAGGAGCGAAGCTGCTGCTGAGCAGTGAGCCACATGGCCCAGCGTGTGGTCCAAGGAGCGAGGAGGGGACTGGGCCGAACAACGCAGGGTATCCCGGAGGAGGGGTTTTTTAGAACTGTGGAAGCTTCCTGTGCTCTTAGGTGACGGTGAGGAGCAGAGCAGGGGCTGGTATTACTGACTCTGAACATCCTGCCTGTCTTGTGGGCTTGAGTTGATCCTAAATGAGTTTAGGAAAACAAAGAAAACCACAGACATCTTGAGTGTTACTGCACCTATTATAGTAAAAGGCTCTTAGTTTAAAGAGGACAGTAAAAAATGGCCTCAGTAGCAAAGCAAATAGCAAAGCATACAGGATAAGAAATAATAAAAATTTGATTCATCATCTTATTCTTCAGGACAAAAAGTTCTCATGAGGGAAACTAGAGATTTGCTTTTCATCAGGTGACACGTCATTGGCATCACAAAATCATTTTACCTTGAAAAGCAGGAGAGGCTAGGTAGGCTTCAGATTTTTGCTCTGCCCGAGTGACCAAAATGGCTTATTTCAAGCATAAGACGTCATTTTCTCAGTAGGATATGGAATCTGGTGTATGTCATGGTCAAAACTCACCAACTGTGCACTTACAAGCCACATCTTTTATAGGGTATAAATTACACCTCAGTTGAAAAAACAAACTAATCAGAACAAGTAGAGGAGGCCAGAGAAGACAAGGGGATCTTGAAGTTGATTGGTCTTCATGGGAAAAGAGGTGAGACTGGAGAACGGGGAAGGAGTCCAGCAGAGGATGCATCATCTCAATGCAATAACAAGGGCATATCAAACAAACTTTAGATAAGGAAAGTTCTGTTAACAAGAAGGGGGGTGGCATACTCTTAAAAAATGTCATTGTCATCATAAAAAAAAAAAAAGCAAGGCTGTGGAAATACTCCAGATGAAAGGAAGCTACAGAGACGTGACAACGAAATATATTACCTGATGGACTGGATCCTGTCGTGGGGGTGGGGGAGAAAAACTCTAAAGGTCAATGTGAGATCACCGAGAGTGTGAGCACAGGCAATACATTAGATTAAAGATTGTCCGGGTAGATTATGAACCTGGCTCCTTTTCCGCAGCATGTAGGATGGCATCCTGACTCTTAGGAAACACAGACTGAAGTATTTAAGGGTAACGGGCTATTTTGTATGTAACTCACCCTGAAAGGGCTCAGAGAATAAAATTATATATTGTATGTATGAGCCAAAGAATTTCCTTATTGCTTATTTTGGGAGGAAAAGAATGAAAGTACAAATTTGGTGCTGGGTTGGGTCTTGATGACAAGGCTGGCTCTCGGTTTGGCCAAATGTTTTTCGATTTTATCAGACTCTCTCGTTCTATCAGTAACTCCTGAAAGTCACATTATACCCACAACCGATTGAGAAAAACCTTGACTCCAGGTCAGGTCACTGTCACCTGGAGCTGAACCAGGCAAAGTTTAGGAGTTGGGACAAAGGCATCTGTTCAGTTTAACTGCAGACACATGTTTGAGTGAGAAGTGGAGGAGGGGTATGGGCAGGGAGGGAAGGAGAGGGCACACAAGCCATAAAACAAATAAGGTAAAATGTTAAAAATAGGTGCGGGGGTAAATGTGTTCTATGTAAAATTTTCTCCTTTTCTTTTGTACTTTATTTGCAAATTTGAACTTATTTCCAAATAAAAAAAATATTTACAAATGTCAGGAATGAGCTGCAAGGAGTTCCGAGGGCTTCACAGTATCACCTTGTGTCCAGAAGGCCCTGACAGCCAGCTCAGACTCGTGTCAGTGTTCCCGGTCAGCATTATAATTTTATTGATGTAATAGTTGTAAATGGATCGTTTTCAAGCAATTAAAGCTAGATTGCTTTTGTTTTAACCCTAGGAGAATATGAGAGAATTTCCTTATTGCTTATCCTGAAAAGGAAAAAAAAGGGCAGGATTTTTGTTGACAAAGCCAGTGGAGGTTGGACAGGTATTTTATTTATTTATTTATTTTTGGTTTTTTCAACATCTGTACCTCCAAACAAGCAGAATGTTAACAGGAGCTCTCCTTCAATAAGTAACTTTTGAACTCTACATCATACTTATAGTTGATTCATGAGAACTTTGATTCTTGGGACAAATCACTGGTACTTCCAGGTAAGCACAGCCCAGGCAAAGTTTATATGTCGGGACAATTACATCTATTTGGTTTAATGCCAAATATTCCCAGGATGACCCTGGTGGTATGCTAGTGGCTTTGGGAGAGAAGGAGTGTTCAGTGATCTCTCAGAGGGCTCTCAAAGACTGCAGTGTCTGACCTTGCCCTGAGCTCAGAGCACCCAGTGCCCCTAAATATGGCTGCCACACCTGCTCACTCCCTGCGGGATCCGTTGTAAAAGAGAATGGGACTCGGTCTCCTGCGGTTGGCCTAACACACACATGACCATTACCCATCTCTTCCCCCAACATGGAAAGAAAATACAGAATTAGTTTGTTAAAGCAAATTTCCAGACAAATAGAAACCTCCCCCTTGACCTTGTCTACATCCAGGATGAGTGAAAAGGACAGGTTGTACTTAACTCATAAACCTCCCGTTTGGACCGTGGCATCATGAAGCTGAGTATTCTTTCCTGACCTTCATCTGATACAGATGGGGCTATTTAGGGGGCTTGGAAGTTCACCTGTGTAACGAAAGTGATCTCTCTCTTAGCCAGCATGCTGTAAAAACCCAACTGAGCTGGTGCTTCCAGGGAATTGAACCCAGGTGACAAAATGGGCATGTGGTCACAAGCAAGCTTCATTCTGTTTCTGTCCTGGTCATGTCACCTTAGTTCTCCAAGAAGGGAAAGTTGAGAATATGATCTGTTTTATCTGCACTGGGACTGGGAGGTCTCTCTGGCCATGAGTCAAAGTTATGCCAAAGGATCTGTAGCAGAGTAGATGAGCATCAGACAGGGAGATGAAAGGAGCCAGGTGAAGAATTAGAGTCACTACTTGCTGTCCTGAGAAGATGCTACCGATGTAACAACCAGATCAAGACCAATGATCTCCCAGCAGAGACCCCAGTGGTCAGAGAAGGAGACAGCACTCTGTGCCCTGGACTCTGAGGAGCCAATGGCATAGTTCTGCCCTACAGTTGTTTCAGGGCACCACCTGGCCAGGGCTGGAGTGAGTCAGAGACCATGTCCAGCCCTCCAGCTTGTCATCTGGCCTTAGTAATACTCTGGTGAGACCATTGCACCCCTACAATGTTCCTAGCACCATGTTGAGCTCTTTATAGATATTACCTTATTTATACTCAAAACAGCCTGTTCTCTTTTTTATTTAAAAAAATACAGGTTCCCAACTTAATTGAGATAACAGTTGATATATAGCCTTGTATAAGTTTAGGGTTCACAGTGTGATGATTTGGTGCACATATGTGTAGTGAAATGATATCAAGATAAGGTCAGTTTGCACATCCACCACCTCACATAGTTAGCATTTGTGTGGGTATGTGGTGAGAATGTTTAAAATCTACTGTCTTAGCAACTTTCGGGATGGGCTTGTCCTCTTTTCAAAGATAAAGAAACAAAGACTTAAAAGGTGCCTACCAAGGTCAGAAAGTTGGTAAGCAGGGCCAGGATTTGGAGCCGGGACAGTTTAGTTTTAAATCTCATATGATTTTTAGCATGCTATGCACAAGTAGACATACACACACACATACCCAAACAGTGTGTTGGATTTTCCAGCCTCTGCTTCAAGACAGAGCTTGGTCTTGCTCAGCATATTTGTTCTGAGACATCGTGCAGTCACATCTGCTCAGAATGTCATAGTGATGGTTGACGGAGAACCTCCAGCCATTCTAAGGCAACAGGTGTTTTATCACCTGGTGGGACTGCTTCCAGTCTGGCTGCACATGCTGGCAGGGGCTCCACACTGGGACTTCAGAATCCCCATTTGAGCTGCCAAGACAGTCAGAAGGTTTGGTAAAAATCAATTGGTGACGTGAGTGGGAACTCTCAGTGGGCTGGGCTGGGCAGCCTCAGTGCCAGAGAATGGCCAGCCTCCTGCCTTGGGCCACTGGCCACCTTTTTGCCCTGTCTTTGCAGCCAGCCTCAGTTTGAAGCCCAGAGTGGCAGCTCTTGGGGATCAGCCAGCCTACCAGGGGCCTGTGCACTGCTTTGCAACCATCGTGCGGACAGAAGGCCTGGCAGGGCTGTACCGGGGCGCCAGCGCCATGCTGCTGAGGGACGTTCCAGGCTACTGCCTCTACTTCATCCCCTACGTGTTCCTGAGCGACTGGATCACGCCCGAGGCCTGCGCAGGCCCCAGCCCCTGTGCTGTGTGGCTGGCAGGCGGAATGGCGGGTAAGGGCGGCATGGTTGATCCCTGACCCTGTGCTGACCACCGCCGTGGGACATTGGGGCAAGGGCAGGGTTCATCCAGCCACTCTTCCAACAGTTCTTTGTTAAGTGGTCAGACCTGGGGCTTCCTTGGTTTCTCAGTGGTAAAGAATCTACCTGCAATGTAGGAGATGTAGGGGACTTGGGTTCAATCCCTGGGTTGGGAAGATCCTCTGGAGCAGGGCATGGCAACCCACTCCAATATTCTTGCCTGGAGAATCCTCATGGACAGAGGAGCCTGGCAGGCTACAGTCCATGGGATCGCCAAGAGTCGGACATGACCACAGCGACTTAGCACACACATGCACTGACACACACACACACACACACACACACACACATACACAAGCATGCACATGTACACCATCAGACCTAGCCAGGTGGAGGAAGGGCTAGGGATGGGGAATGGCCCCCTCTTTCTCCCCACACCTTCTCTGAGTCCCTTTTGGGCTCTTTCTGCTTTCAGTTGGAAGGTATATTTTGAGCACTCACGCTGTGTCAGGTAGTGCTGAGCTTTGAAAAGAAAATCTCTTATCATGGTCCACCTTTTTAAAATATTGGCACCCTGCAAGTCTTTCTAACATGAGGATTTCATTCTCCCCAGAAGGTAGGAATCACTCTCCCCATTTTTCAGATGAGAAAACTCAGGTTCAGAGTGACCAACCCAAAGTCACACAGCTAATGCAGACAGTATAGCAGGGACACTGCCATCAGAAAGAGCCAAGTTCAAATCCATAGTTAGTCACTTTGTGACCATGGGCTGGTTATTTAACCTCCCTCCTCAGAACCCATGCTGCATCTCCATGTCACTTCAGCTGTAAGTCAGTGTCCTTTTCTGCTCATGTCCCCTTACTTAGCTCAGTGTCAGCCACACTGGTCTATTTCCTGCAACTTGACTGTGCCTGGCTCCCTCCCCACCACAAAGGCTTTGCACTTGCTATTCCCAGGGCTTGGATTTAGCAACGCATAGGCCACCAGTGACTTTGACAAGATTTGGATGAAGAGAAGGGTGTGAGAACCTGATTGAAGTGGGATCAAGAGAGAATGGGATGAAAGAAATTGGAGAACCCAAGTACATGTAACACTTCTGAGGGGGGAAGAGAGAAACACAGCTATAGTCAGAGACAGGGATGGAAGTCAAGAGAGGATTGCTTCTTAAGAAGGCTGATAGCCTGGTATGTTTGATGCTGATGGGAAATATCCACTGGAGAGAAGAAAATTTTCATGACCTCCGTGGTGGTCCAGTGGCTAAGTCTCTGAACTCCCAGTGCAGGGGACCCAGAGTTCAATCCCTGGTCAGGGAACCAGATGCTACAACTAAAGATCCCGTGTGCTGCAACTAAGACCCAGTGCAGCCAAATAAATAGAAAGAAAGAAAGAAAGAATGAATGAATGAAAGAAAGAAAATTGTCATTCTTTCTCCTCCTCATCATAACCAGCTGTGCTTGAAATAGGAAACATAACAGAGCCCACATCTTAGCCACCAGACCCCAGTGTTCCCCATCCTCCTGCATGTCTGAGGCCTGGCCTGTGCCACCTCCCAGTAATTGTTCAGTAAGTACTGGTTGGCTGAGAGGGCAGACAGGCCCCTGCTGCTCTCATTTCTGGTGAGAACAGATGCATGTGACCTGGCAGGCAAACCTGTTTTTGTAATACTCAAGCCCATGGGCTGAGAACAGGGGGCTATGCCAGGGCAGCACCTAGATTGATTCCAGGGAAAGTGGCCCTATTTATCCTGGCAGGAGGAAGGAGACGCCCAGAGGGTTCCCAGAGGACCAAGGCTAGGAGGCCAGGATGGGCAGGGGGCTGGGGACAGGCTAAGGACTCATTTGGGAACTGCTGTGCATCAGTTACAAAACCTTGCAAACCAGCTGCCTTGGACTTTGGCATCAGTTTGTTTTTGTCTCCCCATCAAAGAATGTGCCAATGTCTGTGTTTACACAATAACCTGGTGGTGTTTTCTTGGAGTCCTTTAAAGTCACAAAAGTGCTCAAACCGGGACACCTGAGCTTCATCCAATGAAGAAGACTCAGTGGCACATGGTCCTAAGGCTTCTTCTATACCACATCACTGCAAAAGATAAGAGCTCTTTAAAGACCTGCCCCTGCCCCTCTTCTCTACAGTCCCTCAGCTGGCCAGCAGCCTATCTGCAAGTGTTTGTTTAGCGTCTCTGTGTTCAGAATAAATTGTGCTTCTGGGGAGCTACCAGCCTTCGGCCTCAGACCTCACCCTGGACTCCCTCCCCTGTGCATGCTCGGAAAGTACTGGGCTTTTTCTTCCAATAAAAGCTGTCAACACAGGCTTCTGCTTACAAAGCACTAGCTACGCACCTGGCGCTTTGCTAAATGCTTCATATGCGTCAGTTCATTTGTCCTCACAGCAGTCCCACGAAGAGAGGTGCTGCTGGCACATTTTACAGAAGACAAACCCAAGGCCTAGAGGAGGAAGAAAATTCCTGCAGAGTCCCACAGCATGTGGTGAGGGAGGATCAGGGACCCCTTTTCTAGGTCCTGACCCTGAGCTCTTTCCAGAAATCTACAGGGAGCCAGGGTCCCTCCACACCCTGACCAGCTAGCCCCTCATAGCTATTTGTCTCTCTCTTTACAGGAGCAATTTCTTGGGGAACAGCAACCCCTATGGACGTCGTGAAGAGCCGACTGCAAGCTGATGGGGTTTATGTAAACAAATACAGAGGTGTCCTGGACTGTATCTCCCAGAGTTATCAGAAAGAAGGTCTTAAAGTAAGCCCTGCAGCAGTCACATGTCAGTGACCTCTAGGGTCAATGTCAGTCCTCGGAGGGCAGGGTCAGACAAATGCGGGGATGTCAGACTTTAACAGGGAAACCAAAGTGCTGGCGGTTACCATTTATCGAGCACTACGAGCAATGCCTCTGGGGAGCTGCCAGCCTTCAGCAATGGCCTCACCCCAGACTCCCTCCCCTGTGCATGCTCAGAAAGTACTGGGCTGAGAGGTTCAGAGAAGACTGGTAACCAACCTGAGGTCACACAGCTGACACGTGATAGAGCCGGGACCTGGACCCACCTCCAAGTCGCCAAGCTTGCCTCCTTAGGTCCTGTGGAAGTTCTATAGGCAAATCCCACTGGCCTTCAAAGTCAGATTCCCTGGGGATTCCCAGTTCTTTTGCCAGATCCCCAGGCTGGGGAGCCTGATGTGGGGCCTAGAGCCTTCACAACAGTGGGGGGAAATCTTTGGTATTATCGTTCTCCAGTTTGTGGCTCACCCACCCGGTGGGTATGGGATTTGGTTTTATTGTGATTGCATTCCTCCTGCTGTCTGGTTGTGGCTTCTCTTTTGTCCTTAGATGTGGGGTATCTTTTTTTGGTGTGTTCCAGAGTCCTCTTGTTGACAGTTGTTCAACAACTAGCTGCGATTTTGGTGTTCTCAAGGGAGAAGATAAGCACACATCCTTCTACTCCACCAACTTGAGCCAATCCCCTGCCTCCTCAGCCAAATAGGCTGGGAACTCCTTCCTCACTCCCTGCTCAGTACCTCACCCTCACCCCTTCGCCAAGTAAGAACTCCCACACCCACTGCAGGCATCACATCTCCCAATTTCCAGTTCCCTGATCTGTCTGCTGCCTTCCACCCAACGCTAGCCAGACTCCATCACCTCTGGTCTTGGCTATTGAAGTAGCCTCCAGCCTGGCCTTGGCTCCCTTCTCCTGAACCCAAAGGGCTTATCCTAAACCCTAGCCTCTTCTTGCCTCTAAACTATCTCAGAATGAAGATCAGGTTTCCACATCTAGTGTCTGAGGTTATAAGCTAATTCATCCTGATCTATCTTGCCTCCCATGATACCTCTTAGCCCCCTCATACTTGCTCTTCCTCGAATGGGCCCCTGGCTTTCTTGTAGTACTTCTTAGAGGCTTCCCTGGTGGCTGGGTGGTAAAAAAAAAAAAAAAAAAATCTGCCTGCCAGTGTAGGAGACATGGATTTGATCCTTGGGTCAGAAAGATCCCCTGGAGGAGGAAATGGCAACCCACTCCACTTTTCTTGCCTGGGAAATCCCACAGACAGAGAAGCCTGGCAGGCTACAGTCCATAGGGTTGCAAAAGAGTCAGACATGACTTAGTGACTAAAGAACAACTTGAGTAAACAACAGCACAACTTGAGTCAGCCAGGTCTGGCTGCTTGTAAGCTAGGGAAATCCAGACAAGCTTTATCTCTCTAGTCCTCCGTTTCTCCTATGATAACCATCCCTACCATAAACAGAAGAGACATTTGAAGGTTACATTAAATGAGGCATATAAAGAGTGCTCAGTTTAATGCATAATACATAAAGAACATTTAGAAAGAGTTACCTCTTTAGTATTAGCAATGGTATTTGTACTCATTAGTACTAATTTACTACTGACCTCTGGGCCTTATCTCATGTGGCAGCCTCATCCCAAACGCTCCATTTTTTTGCCTCATCCCAAACCCTCCATTGTTTACTAACTGCCATCCCAGTGTATTCAAACTTCTACTTTTTTGCTCCAGTGGAGGGCCAGAACTTCTCCTCCAGGAGCCTGGACTTCCACAGAGGCTGTGTGTGAGACTGCCCAAGTCAGTGTTCTCCAGGTCCTACAGCCAAGAGTGGCTGGAACCAGTTCACGGGCCACTGCAGATTTCACCCACCGCCAGGACTGAGGTCTATCTGCCTATTAGCTGATGCACAGGTGGGCAGGACTTTGTTGGGTCCCTTGGTGTAAGGTGCTGGATCCACAACTCCCGCAGAGGCACCTTTGTTCATGGACGGTTGTTTAATCTTTGTTGTTGAAGTCAAGGCAAAACGAAGGATGTCTTGTGCTGCCATGCTGCTGCTGTTGCTCTCCCGGTGTGTCTACCTATTGTGAGATTTTTATTTCTTCATACACCTTCAGATCACTGTCTAGTGATATTTTATTTCAGCCTGCAGGGCTCTCTTGAGCTTTACTTACAGGGTAGTGTTAGTCACTCAGTTGTGTCTGACTCTTTGTGATCCCGTTGACTGTAGCCTGCCAGACTCCTCCATCCATGGGATTCTCCAAGCAAGAATACTGGAGAGGGTTGCCATTCCCTTCTCCAAGGGATCTTCCTGACCCAGGGATTGAACCCAGGTCTCTCGCATTGCAGACAGATTTTTTACCATCTGAGCCACAGGAAAGCTCTTACAGGGTAGGTCTAGGGGTAATGTACTCCTTCAGCATTTATTTATCTCTCACTCTTGAAGGATAGTTTTTCTGAATATAGAATCCTTTGTCAACAGTTTATTTTCTTTTAGATCTTGGAATATATTGGCCCATTGCTTTCTGATCATCTAAGTCTCTGATGAGTGATCTGCTGAAAGTCTTATAGAGGATCCTTTGTATATAATGAGTCACTTCTCTCTTGCTGCTTTCAAGATTCTCTCTTTGTCTTTCAAAAGTTCATTATAATGGGTCTTGGTGTAGCTCTCTTTGAGTCCATATTACTTGGAGTTCATTGAGCTTTTTTGATATTTACATTCATGTTTTTCATCAAGTTTGGGAAGTTTTGGGCCATATTACTTCAAATACTCTTTGCCCACCCCCCCCCTTTCTTCTTGGATTCCCACAATGTACTGCTCTGCTTGAGAGTTCCCCACAAGTCCCTTAGGCGCTGTTCACTTTCCTTCAGTGTTTTTTCTTTCTGCGTCTAAGACTCAATGATTTCTCTTGTCCTGTCTGTAAGTTTGCTCATTCTTTCCTCTACCTGCTCAAATAAACCTTTGAATCCTTCTGGTAAATTTTTTTCATTTCAGTTATTCATTCAGTACATTTCAGCTCCAGAATTTGTCTGGTTTCTTTCTGGGTTTTCTATTTTTTTATTGATATTTCTGTTTTTTCACATATCATTTTCTTGACGCTCTCCACATCTTTAGTTTTTCAAGCATCTTTAAGAAGGATGTTTTAAAGTCTTTGTCAAGCAGATATGCTATCAGATCTCTTTGGGGGACATTTTCTGTTGATTTTTTTTTTTCTTTGAGTGGACCATACTTTCCTATTTCTTACATGCCTTGTAATTTTTTAATTGAAAACTAGACATTTGAGTCTAATAATGTAGTAACTCTAGAAATCAGATTCTGTCTCTTCTCCAGGGTGTGGTAGGTTTCATTTTTGATTTTTGTAGGCTATCTCTGTGCCAAAGATCAACCTGATTTTTAAACTTAAGGTTTTCTTAAACCTTTTCTCAAGTTTTTTCTGAGCCTGTGCCTTTCCCTGGGTGTGCACGGTCACTTTTAATTTTTCCCATATGTGCAGTTGCTTTTGAATTTCCTAGCCTTTAATGTCTGGCTCTCAAAAGAGGAAAAAGAGAAAAATGAAGGGAAAGGGGTCACCATTCCTTTAAATTCCCTGGAAATCACTTCAGCCAGAGGAGGAGGGGCTTGCAAAATGGAGGGGGATGTTAAACAAGGATGACTGTCTTCCTCTTTGCACCTTGTGATCAGAAACAGCAATCAGTGGCCAGACACAGATGTCCAATATATTCCGAGGACAAGGTTTTCGTTGCCCACCCTGGTTCCTGCAAGCTGTGTGCAGGTTGCTCCAGAAACATGTGCACAGCTGACTGCCAAAGGGCTTGGAGTGGGGGATAGGTAGCTGCTACTGTGCTAAAAGCTAACATTGACCAAAATTAACAACTTCCCTGGAAGTTGGAAGCCTTCAGTAGACTCCAGAGTTCTAAAGTAGTTACATCAGACAAATTCTGTCAGTGTAATAGTTGTCTAGGTGAGGAGACAGAGTCCTGACATTTTCCACTCTGACATCTTCTTAGAATTCTCACTTCAGTTTTTTCCCTCCAGTTTTATTGAGATATAATTGATGTATGGCACTGTGGATGTTTAAGGTATACAATATAATGACTTGACTTACATATATCATGAAATGATTAACACAGTAAGTTTAGTGAACATCCATCATCTCACACAGATATAAAACTAAAAAATAGAAAAACATTTTCTTCCTTATAATGATAACTCAGGGTTTCCTCTCAATCACTTTCATATATGATGTATAACAGTGTTAATTATATTTATCATGTTGTATATTATATACCTAGTACATATTTATCGTATAACTCAAAGCTTGTGCCTTTTGACCACCTTCATCTAATTTCCCCTCTCACCACCCTTCACTTCTGGTAACCACAAATCTAATGTTTTTTTCTGTTTGTTTTAGAAGTGTAATTGACCTACAATACTTTGTTAGCTCCTGGTACACAGCATAGTGATTTGATTTTCCTGTACATTTCAAAATGATCAGCATGATAAGTCTAGTTACCATCTGTCACCATACAAAGATATTACATAGTTATTGACTATATTCCTCATGCAGTGCCTTTCATACCCATGACTCATTTATTTTGTAACTGAAAGTTTGTACTTGTTAATTTTCCCTCACCTATTTCTCTCCTCCTCAACACTCTTCCCCTCTGGCAACCACCTGTTTTCTCTCTGTATCTACGCCTGTGTTTCTGGTTAGTTATGCATGTTCATTTGTTGTGTTTTTTAGACTCCACATATAAGTGAAATCATACAGTTTTTGTCTTTGTCTTATTTCACTTAGTATAATACCTTCTAGGTTCATCCATGTTTTCACAAATGTCAAGATCTAATTCTTTTTATGGCAGTAATATTCCATTGCATATATATGTATCTTCTTTATCCATGCATCAATTGATACACACTTAGATTTCTTCCATATCTTGGCTATTGTAAATAATGCTGCAATGAACATAGGA